GCTTGAGAAATTTTTTCCATCTTTTCTTATTCTAAAAAATTAATGGCACACCATGTTTGAACTGATAAATATATTTTGGCCAACCTAGCTTCCTCCGTCCATTGGAGCCAATAAAGAGTATTTCGCTGTGGTGCGGTGATGAGATATGAAAGTACAGTGCTACTTAATACGCATTTTATGATCATACATACATATTTTTATTTTTTCATACAATTTCAAGGAGTAGTTAAATTATACGTTTTTTTTCCCCAACAAGTGTAAGAATTGCACACTTTTTCAAAGCAACATACAAACGTCACATATTATTTATTGATAAAATGAAAATAAGTTAGAATAGGAAATATTCAAATTTAATATAATGGCCGATGTTTTGACATACATCTCTTAAAAATTAAGACAGAAGAGGTTTTGTTGAAATTGGAAGCAGCTTAGCTAGTCTGAATTCCAGGTGGTTTCAAAATTTGGATGAACTTTTTGCTAAAATTTCATATATGTAACCCTAATTTGCTAGAATCTCTTGACCATTGATCTTGTTGAACTTTTTCCACTTCAACCAATTTAACACCAGTGAATAAGAAAATCAAAAGTAATTTTACATGACTTGCCTTGGATTAATCTATCGAAACAAGTGTAAAATGAGTCAATTCATCCGTCCTTTTTTCATGGTTTGGGCTACAATTAAATTTTGGAACTTGTTCGTTCAATGTCGTAACTTTTGATACTTGAATATTGACTCGAAGCATTTTCTTTTCACTTTCTTATCCTGAAAAATTAGCATCAATATTGGTTCTTAAACCCTAGCCATATCCACATTATACCAACACCCCTCCAATTTTCCACGCAGAGAAAATAAAAGTGGCAAGAATATAATAATCAATCCACTTGAAAAATTGCAAGAATAAGTAGGAGATCATGGAATAGCATTTCTAGACCTTAATTTTCTTAATTTCCTGCATATATAATCTGAATACAATTTTACATTATCATATATGCCTCCCACCATTCATCATCCTCCAAATACCTGCCCTACCAAAGGCTACCCAGTATAACAGCACTAAACGGGTGACACCAACAATTAAAAAAGTTCAATTTACAAATTATCAAATGAATATTAGACTACCCTTATATATGACGTAATGCTACGGCCATAATTTACAATTTTACAACCATTTTCTGTTTTTTTTTTTTTTTTTCTTTTCCTTTTTTCTTTTTCATTTTTCTATAAGCTAGTTTCCCTTACTCAATCTTATATGCATGAAGAAACAGGCAGAAGTCAGAAGATGTTGAGTTACTAGTCTGAATTGAATAATAAGGACTGCTATTATCACTGTCTATGCTGCCGTTGCCAACTCAATTGAATTATCATTTATCCCATTATTGAATTGGTTGGAATATCACACACGGTTCTATTCACTTGCCAAAACAATCACCTTGCTTTTCTCAATGTCCATATGCCCTACACGTTGCAGATGCCTATCTAATTTGCTACTGGAGTTCATCCTCTTTGTAAGTTACCTATGCATGCATGAAGACCATGCATCCTAACAATTATGATTAACCCCCATGCTGCTCCAATCCGATGACAAGAATCCCAAGCCCATTTGAACCACACTACTTGCTTGGAGATATAATTTGCATTCTATTATCTCGTTTAAATCCTTTATCCAAAGGCTAATAATGAATAATGAATAACAGCATGCTGGCATGCGTGATCTTAGGCCTGGTTAGGTGATCTCGCCATCACAAATGTGATTGCATTCGAACACCTCTTGATATTTTACTCATGTGACGATCTAGAACTCTACTCATTCAAAAGTTTTGATTACTCGGGTCGATAGTGTAATTTTGGATCCAAACAAATTACCAACTATGATTCTTCTGACCCACCAAACTACATACTAATTAAACTAATTAGCAAAGTAAAACCATCTTTAGTCTTTAACAAGTGTTTTGAAAATTTTAAACCCTTAAATTTTCCCAACCATGTAATTAATAGAGCTCTAAATTGAGAGAAATCGTAGTTATTAGAATTCACTACTTATTTCCACCTCAGTTTCTTCAACTTTATAAACATCTAAACCATTCCAAACAGTGGTAAAGCCAGAAATTGTCAGGGGATGAACGAAACTTAAAAGGGTAAAAGATTTCAAAAAAATTTAGACAATGAAATCCTTTCAGTTAGTAGACAATATTAACATTGTTCATAATTTATCAAGCCAGTCGTATTACACACTACACGTAATTGCCTACAAATCCATTGACAAACTAAATCCACTAAAATCCATTGCCAAACTGTAGAATAGAAACTACTGGTCATTTTTGTAAGTAGTATTTCATTGTACAGTTTTCGTTAACTAATCAAATTGTAGAGTAATCTTATATTTATCCACCTCCAGAAGTTGACTCAAATAATAACTTCCCTAGACATATGTACATTAAACAGAGGATTTTAATCAATATGACACCCCTAATGTTAAATCCTAATCAATTAAAACGGCAAGACTTGACTTACACTAATCAATTAAAAAAATAATTCTTGCTAACCAAACAGGAAATAAGATGCGGATGAAAAAACACACCTAAAACGGCACGATTGGTTTCTCGACAACAGCCAAAAAAAATCCAAATTGCCTTTTTAGACGATGGAATCGAAATCGAAACCGACAGACACATGAAGATATAGATTGAAGACCCTTCTAGTAGCTTCAAAAAGCAGGGTGGCGATGACTGACACGTGGCCTGGGAAACAGCCGCTTAAACTCTGAGGAAAAGAAATAAAGAAGATAGCACCCAACAAAAGGGCATAATCGACTTTTCATTGCACAAATGAGGAAACATAAAGGACACTAAGCTGAAACAGAAAAGGAACCGGGAACCAATATAAACCATAAAAAGTATACAACACGATCACCAACACGTGGCACAATCAATGCTCACGTACCATGCAACAGGCGACATGACAGGCACAATCAATCCTCACCTACCATGCAACAGGCGACATGACAGGCACAATCAATCCTCACCTACCATAAGGCAATCATACATGACATGACAGGGATGCAGGAACCATGGGAGGAGAAGTCAGGAGAGAAAAATGGCACAAATATCTCAATTTTTAATAATTGTTTTGTCCATGATCTAATTTTTTTTATAATTTTTTAATATGTTGTTTGCCACAAAGCCCGATGGAAGACAAAAAAAGGAGCAAAACCAAACAAAATAAAATAACCAAAAGGCCAACGGGAGACAGGTGGGCTTTTTAAAATTTTTAACAATTATTTTGTGCATGCTGTCTAATTTATTTATAATTTTTTATTGTGTTTCGAAGGTGAGATGGCGTGAGGCATAGCAGGTAAGCATGCCAGGGAAGTCAGAAGAGAAAAAGGAAACAAATACCTAGAATCAAAAGGGCAAAACGGCCAAGCCGAGCAACACGTGAGAAAAAAAAGGATGAAGGAAGGGGTAAAAACGACATTTCATGTAGCATCTTCAATATGCCAAAAAAATGGGTGTTAGATCAGGGGCAAAACCGGAACGGCACTGTTAGTGAACAGTGCTTTTCCACCGGCTTTTAGTATATATAGAATATCCAAAGCCCGAAAAATGTTGCCCTCCCTTTGTGAACCAAATACAGAAAGAATATAACCCATTTGCTATCAAAATTTTAAACAAATATGTACAAACTAAACCAATTATCGAGAGAATTTAGCCGATGCTAGCATCCAATATTTGATTCACCAATCAATTTAGATGTTTTGCTCTCAATCCTAAAGCATCCGATATCATTGGAGCCCATCACCAATGATGCACATCACACTATAAACTAAAAGGGAGGCAAAGCAAATGACCAAAAAAATTAATTAAATTAAAATCCCACAAAACCAAAGGAAGAGGCGTGGAGCCTCTCCTCCTCTAGAGACTGCAAAATCCAAATTCATCACACATATTTTGCTTCTCACTCATAATAGAATTCTGGCTCTTTGGAATATCTTCACACGAAGAATGTGCAACAAATCTACTTAGTTTTAACTTCGAATACACTGTGGGATTTTAAAGATATTGAATAGAAGGGCAATCAGAAGACCAGAGTAACATGTTGGATTCATCATTTTTGAGAAGAGATAAACCATTCATTTAAGCTAACGCATCAAATTACACATCACTGGATAAGGAGTACATTCTAAGAACAGACATAAAGAAAACAAAAGGGAAGAACACAAAACAAATATAACTATTATACCAAAAAGCCCCAAAATACGTTAATCAACAATTAAGTAATAATTCAATTATTAACAACCACATCAATTGGTTTGTAAATTTATTAAAAAAAAAATTAATCTCCCTATTATTATAATTCAATCATTTTTCATGTACTTTTCACTTTTTCTTAAAAATTCCTGACAATTCCAAATCCAACCGAAAAATCCCAGTAACTCCGTCCAAAAGATACCAAAATCATTGGAATGGAATCGGTTTCCATATCTCATTGATCGGTAAATCCCAGAAAGATACCGAAATCTTTATTTTCCTTTAGCAAAGAGCAAAGAGCAAAGAACAAAGAAGCCACTAGCAAAAGAGCAAAGAACAAAGAACCATCTAGCAAAAGGCGCCATAAAATAAAGGAAAGGCAAGTCATATCTTGTCCGTTAAAGCAAAAAGGGTAAAAAAATAATAATGAAAAACGATTTGAAACTTTGAATTTTAACCGTAATGATGTCATCATTTTGTGTCGGTGGTCAAACGAGTGTAAATCATTTTGTGTCGGTGGTCAAACGAGTGTCTATATTTACACGTTTTTGGAAGTTACTTTTTGGTCTCTTATCCTAATCTAGTCCGGACCCTTTATCTCGATTTCTCTTTTGCCTCACGCTGCTACGTGGCAAACACCAACTCCCATTCTCTCTTTTCCCGATCTCGCAATCTCTCTCACTATCGCAATCTCTGTCACTCTCGCAGTCTCTCTCACTCTCTATCTCACCCTCCCTTAACTCTGTCCCTCTCATCCGTGCCCTCCCTCTCTGCAAACCCTCACCTCCCTCACCATCATACCACATAACAACAACTAAACACCATCACCCCTGCGAACTAAGATTCGAAGAAAGAACACCCAAAACCTTATCTTCCTTTCGCCGATACTGTTCATCGTCTTCTCCGTCGAGTTTCGTGATTTTCCAACATTGGTAAGCTTCTAAAAACCCTTGGGATGTGTTTTAGGGTTAGATCGAAGCTTGTTTTAAGTTGTGTATACATTTCAATCGCAGAAAATAGCTCGGGGAAGCTTTTCCAAATTTTCCAGCTAGCACCGCCCCTTTCGAGGAATTTTCCGGTCAAACCATTGCGAGTTGGCCGGCGTGCGAGGTATCAATCTCTTTGTCTCGTCGAGAACTACAACTTTCATTTTTGTTTCACTTGATTTCGTCGAGTAATGAATAAGTTATGAGCGTTTGAAAGTAGCCCAGAAACCGGCCAAAGAGTGGCCTGAAAACCACCCTCAACCCAGGCCTTTGGGCCGGGTTACCCAGCCAATTAACCCCAAAACCCAGCAGCCCAAAAAGGTCTTTGGGCCGAGAAACTAGGGCCCTTGGCCAGCTAAACTCTTAACCCGACCAAAAAGGGCTTCGGCCCATGAGCTTTAAACTCAACCCAAAACCCTTGGAATCTGAACCTTTTGAATTGAGACCTTTGGGCTGTTCACCTAGGGCCTTCGGCCCAATTCACCCAAAACCCTAAGCCCAATACCCTTTAAACCCTAAAACCTATTGGACCCAAGCCCTTTAGGCTCAGACCCGTTGACTTTGACCCGATCAACTGTCAGCGTTGACTTTTTTGAGTTTCGCCTGGAACCCCTCGTAGGCTAATTTCGACGTCCTGAATCCGTTTTTGACATTCATTTTTCCAAATTAAATCATTTGAGTAGAGTTTTATTAATTGTATACTTTATGTGCTTAGGAGTAATTATCTGTGGCGTTTTCATCTTTACTAGTTTGCGTGTCTCTTCGGCAACAAAGTATCTGTGAGTGGACCCTTTCTAAAAATGCATGTTTTAACAGTAGTAATGCATACATGAAAAGCATGATTTACTGATTACGTTTTATGAGACAACATGCTTATTGAGGTTATTTTGAATTATTACTATTTTTCCTATAACTCGTGTTCTTTATAAAATATCTGATGGATGACGATATAATATTTAGAACATATTTTGAACACCTCTTTAAAGTATAGATGATGAATGACTTTATACTATGAAGTTGCTTTTCAAATATACGTATGTTCAATGATTTTGTTCTTACCTAGTAATTCCTTTCAATCTGTAAGTAGTAATTAGACTACTTTGATAGCTAATTTTTTATTTGTTTAAATAATTTATATATGAGATTTGCTACGGACACTCGCTCACAAGTCTCTACCGACTCGCTAGCCACGTAAGGATTGTCTTAGAATGTGTTGTGGTGTATGGGTCCGGAAAAAAATAACACAAGATCTGAAACTTGTGTACTTCAAGTGGAAATGGGAAATTAATGACAAAAAATTAGGAAGAAGAATTTGAGCAATTTGAACTCAAAATTTCTGTATTTTTCAATTCCAATTTCTACCTTAACCAGCATTTTCTAATTTTCCATCAAGCACGCAAAACAAATCATACTCGAAGACTATATTGAATCTTCATAGGCAGAGCACCCATATTTCTCCCGCTCCAAATGGGGTTTTGAGATGGGTTTGGCAGTGAAGCCTGCCGTAGATGATTTGGCGGTGAAACTGTGAAGAAGATGGAAGAGAGAGGTGTACGTGGCTAGAGAGTCCAGGGAGACTGGCTTTGTAAGCGAGCCCTCCTACATATGTGTGTATACGTGATATGCTCCACCGGAATCACAGGTTGAACGTGGCACAAGGTGCGGGTGACCATGGCATTGGCAGGTGTGTTGGAGCCATCATTACATCCATCGGTGCCCAGTACAAGCGCAGGTGTGTCTCTGCTTGCCAAAACAATCATTTATTATTTCTTTATCTAATTAAATAATCGTCTATATCTTTTTAAGAAAATGTTATGATATATTTTTGGGACACTTTGGATGTGATTCCTAAATATCAATATTCTTTGACTGAAATCTTGTTGGTTTTTAATTTTTTATCGAAATCTCTAAAATTAATGTGATAACGTATTTCTATGTAGGTTACTATATTTTTTAAATTAAAAATTAAAATTTATAGTTGTTTGTATTAATGAGATTTTAAATTAAAAAAACTCATAATTTGTGGATTAAAATTATTAAAATGTAAATTATACTATCCAATAGATTGTGTGTGTTTGTGTGTGTATATATATATGTATGTATATAAACATGGGTACATTCATCAAAAATTAACAAAAAAAATTATTGTACCAAAATATGGGTACATTCTTCAAACCCACACAAAAAAAAAAAAAAAGATATTAGGCTGAATAACATTAGTAAATTTCTTTGATTAAAATTGACATGGATACATTCTCAAATCAAGAAAAAGAATGGGTACATTTCACTACAACAAATTGATATATTTAAGAATAGGTACATTTTAAGATTGAAAATTTGAAAAATTACATGAATGCGTACATATAAGATTAAAAAATTGGAAACCTTTTTATAAAAAATTAAGGGGTACAAACTTATTCTATTTTTTCATTTATTTTGGAAATGATTTGAATTGAAAATTAGTAAGGAGTTTAATAAAGGTGTGAGTACTAAAATCCTAAATCAATTATTAATTTTTATTTTAAAAATTATGTAACTGATATATAAATTCATTATTGCATTAATGCTAGGGACCTCGATAAAAATCTGAAAACTAATAAGGTTTCAATCAAAGAACATTAGCAACTAAGGACTGGATACTAATTTTTTCTATATTTTTATACCACAATTGTACAATTGTGTATGGTTTAAAATATCGATATACAAATTTATACAAATATCAATAAATATATCGATATCAATATAAGTTACCTTAAACGAAACTCAAAGCGTGAAAATTTAAAATGACACTTTATGGAATGTCATATCAAACTACAATACATTTATTGATAAAAAAAAAAAAAAAAATTAAATACTAATACTATATAGCATTTCAATCTTTTGGGATATGTACAAAACATGCACACAATGTGCACAACAATATGACCAAAATATGATTTTTCCTAATACTTAAAATGATCAAATTCCCTCCTATATAAATGGGTTATTTCGTTCAATAGGTCCCTCTCTTGTTTTTCCCTCAGGCGGCTACCTCCGGCAGTGTTGGCGGTCCAATCGCCCCCAGCTTTACTTTTGCCATCGTGCCACCGTACGGTTTCCTTCACCCCCTCACCTGCCTCCAATCTCATTTGCCCTCTTTGCAGTCGCGGATTCCTGGAAGAGATGGAAACCCTTAATCCTAACCCTTAACCCCACCCCAATCCTTTCTTATCTTTTCCCTCATCTGACGCTCCTCCCTTTGCCTCCAGCAGATATCCCCTCCTATTCTGTGCCTTCGCGCAAGAATCTCTCAAAATAATCCACTCTTATTTCATTTTTTTCCTACTATTTTTTATTTGGGTAACCCTTGATTTTAATGGGTAGAGTTGAAGGCAGCTGGGAATAAATCAAGTTGATAAAATGTCATGATTAGTGAATAAGTGTTTGGTCACTTTGTTTGTTCATCAACTTCAAGCAGATTAATTAAGTCATAACCAGTAAGTAATTTTCATTGCTGGACATACACTACATGCACATAACATGCTCACAGATTTGAGTTCAACCTCAAAAACCAGAGCTCACTACTCTTTCTTAGAAATCAGAAAAATGACGCTTATGCGCTCTGAGGTCATTTCATTTTCTGTGCATTTTCTGTGCATGTTCTGTGCATAATGCAAGCATGGAATGTGCATATTACAAGCATTGAATCTGTCACGGCGTCAGTAATCTCAATGGGATCGGAGAGTGAAAGAACCATGTTCACTTCGACAGTTGATGCATGTTGTCGTGGCAGAATTGTCATCGGGAAGTTTAATAAATATGCCTCTTACTTCACTGTCCACCCAAATTGACGAAAAAGACCGCGGAGTTCTCTCGCTACAATCCATTACGGTCACCAAATTTTGACCATTGATAGAATGGAGAAGCTCGAGGCCTCTCTTCTTGGAATCCCTTTGTGACACACCAAGATGACACTGTAGACATATGTTGCTGCTGGATGAGCCTTGGAGATTGCCATCTTCAAAGACTAAATTTCAAGTTCGAAATTATTGTATTCGAAGAACCGTTGCCATGCCTTGGTTGTAGAAGGCCTCAGAATTGCCATAGTCCTTGCACCTTTTAAGGAACTTCGACACTTCATTATCTCTCCACCATGAAGAAAACGGGTTGCGCCTTTCAAATGTCCTGATGTTGATGTGCTCGAAGATCTGATCATGTTAGCCATGCGTGTTGAACTTCTTGCAGCTCATTTTTGCGGAAAAGATCGCGAAGCAACCTTCTTGAGTATTTCCAAATGAAGGTTGTCTGGAAGATGTAGTATCAACGATGGGGTGGATGTGGTTTTCTTCATCATTCTGGCTCTCTTCAAGTTTCTGGCTTTCTTCATGGTTGTGGAACCTGATTCATGGTTTGTGGTTGGACAATCACGAATAAATAGACCACCTCTCTTGAAAGCTAATAGGCATTCAGGCACAATAACCAAACCAAAAAAATTTAAAAATACACATGCATGCAACCGTGAAGAATCCTAATTAAGACAACCATCGAGAACCCAACCATCCACCAACCCATCACACGCATCCTTGAGTATTATTTCAATGTTGGATTCTTGACATGACATGTGCATGCTGTGTGCAGACCATATCCAAAAATTGTACATGACCTACCCAAAAATCTTTTTAAAATTACTGTACACACATGCCGTGTACAAGTTATGCACATCATATGTATGTCTTGCACATGTCATGCTCATGAAATGTACATTGTCCACAAATTCACAATTAATTATCGAACAATTAGGGCTTTCAAATTGGGGTGAGTAAACATTTCATATTTATTTTGTTATGTTATTTTAAGCATAATTGAAAGCCTATAATGGAGATGTGCCTTTAATAAGTGAAAATTGGCATAAAAAAGGTAAGAGTGAGATTATGTGATGCGGGCGTAGGAATTCTTGCTCACACTCGCCGCCAAAACAAATGAGACCTACCCCAATTTTTTAAAGTTATTTATTTATTTTATTGGAAAAGGCGCCAATCACATCATAGTGTATATCCCAAACTAAAAACCATAACTTTGTTACCATTTTTTGTCTTCCATGGTTTGTTGCTAAATAGATTGGTTGACTTTATAACCTTAGTGACAAGACAAGACGTGTTGTGCATTACCTCACCTTTATTCTCATCCTAACCTATTTGAGGTGGGAAAGAGATCATTTTCGGATCTCTTCCTCCAAAGTTTAATGATTAAGTGATCCGAACTTTTGAAATTTAATCCATCGGCTAAAAATTATTATAGTTTTTAAATTTTTTTACTAATTTCTCCGTTTTTAGCAGTTTGATCAAATTTCAAAGACTCGGATCACTTGATCCTTGAACTTTGAAGGGAGAGATCCGAAGAGGATCTCTTTCCCTTGAGGTGCATTGTATGTGCTTTGTCATCATCTCACCTTGGATTCCCTCAATACCCGAAGGAAGCATGTACAAAGGGATGGAAACCTCTCAATAATAATAATATAAGGTAAAGGAGGGTAAGCAACGTCCAAGTTGGTACAAAGAGTTGTCATATGCGTCACATCCTCACTACATAAACACCTTCAACACAAGCTCTTTTTTACCCAATGAGTTTTCATCGACATTATGCTACACTTGTATAAATAGGTTGCTCACACTCGATTGCCAATTTGCCATAACCATTAACCCCATAGCAAAAAAAGCATTCTACGTCTCACGTAGCCAAAATAATTCACATCACATACATGTCTAAGTTCAAACATGAAATTCAGGGTTTAACGCAGAGTTGCACGGGTGGTACAACATAGAACCTTCTCCACTTCTAGGGTCACCTTAGGCAAATCCTACTTCATCATTTAGCTCTGTTGACTCGGAGATGCAGCTGGAAAATATAGATCAGGTTCGTGGGAGACTCAATTATGAGACGGGCGTTGCCGTGTATTGGAACCACAAGCTAATGGAGGCAGAAAAATAGCTTGTGTACCTTGATGGTAAAGCTAACGAAGCGCTTTACTGTGTAAGCAAGTAGAAGATGAAAGTTGACATGTTTGCAAAAAGGATCCCACTCCTAAATTTTGAATTGTAGTAAAGGCGTCGTCGCCATATTGAGTCGTACGAGTGTTTCCGGGAGGGAAAGGCTGTTGACAAAAACAAATAATGAGTTGTGTTTCAAATCTAATTCAATCCACTCATTGAAACCAATGGTTGCAACTACACCTTTTTCGATATGTACGAAACTAGAGAGAATTGAGACTAAACGAGACCAAAAAAAAGGTAGTTACAGGGGCAAAACGAAACAAAACGAGTTTCAAGGAGGTAAAGTAAGACTAAATGGCAGTTTCAGGGGGCTAATCAACTAATAAGCCAATAATTTATTGTTACATAAATGTAGTAGCTTTTAGGGATTAGGTGTTTCTTTTTCCAATGTTACATCTTTAAATTGGTATGCTACAGTACTAATGTGGTTTTTCGCATTCATATAACTTTCATTAAGGATAACTAAGTCATTTTCTTAACTATACCTTTATTAAGTAATAACCTTCCTATACGTATAAAATAGATTGGTCATAACATTATTACTATATAGCGATTTTATTGTAAATGAGTCTCCTCCAATCATATTGGATCACTTTTCCCTTGCACAATCAAACACTCGTCATCAATCATGAGTATTGTATTAAAATGAAAATTATCTCAAGGACATATGTACTAATTTTATCATAAATTTCATATATTTGTAATCATATTCATATTCATGCGCATTTAGCATTATTTTGTTATTATTCGAACATATTTAAAGTGTGTATTTAATAAATGGCATGAATGATTTCTTGGTTTTCTTTGTGATTAAATTTCAGTGCTCTATTTTCCTAACACTTTGGAGTGTTAATCAAAATGATCCCATGTAATTTTTCTAGTTGTCATATAATTCCATATAACTTCATTAAAAAGTTAAATAATAAGGAACCCTTAACATTATCTTCCATCGTTTCTATGATTGAAGTTTAACTACAGAATAGTTCATGCATCAAACTAAACTAGTATGGGGAAATTAACAATAACAAACACGATAAATTTGACAGGATTTGAATATAGTCGGTGTAAACCTTTCTTTGAGGCTGTGCAAGCTGGTCGTTGGGAAACTGCAAGGGACTTTCACATCCAACATCCGGAGGCAGTAAGAGTACGCCATCCATTGTCCGGGAAGACAGCTCTTCACATTGCAGTTGAGGCTGGGCATGTGGATATTGTCAGAGAATTGGTGTTGTTGATGCTAGCGGAGGATTTGGAAAGAAAATCATCGGGTGGTCGGACAGCTCTTGCTATTGCTGCATTTGAAGGGATTACCGAAATGGCTGAATGCATGGTAACAAAGAACAATAAATTACTCAGCATTCCCGATGCTTTCAACGACATTCCACTTGTGCTAGCTTATGTGTACAGGCATTGGCATATGGCTCGATATCTCTACCTCCTCACTCCACCTGAAGATTTAATGCCAGACAAAGGACCTCATGGCGCTACAATAATCTCCAATTGTTTTCGATCCAAAGAATTTGGTAAAAGTTTTTAAATATGAGTACTAACATGCTGTTGAGTACTACAAAATTATAGCAAACTAATTATTTTTGAAAAATTCTTAACGTTTAAAATAAACAGATATCTCATGGAATTTAATTAACCATTGCCCAAGATTGGCCTTTACTTCGAACAACGGAGAGGTGACCCCCTTAGAAAATTTGGCTTGTATGGCTTCTTCATTCCGGAGTGGAGTGGAGCTCAATTTCTGGCAACAATGGATTTATGACAGTTAGTGTACAACATACTCCCTTCGCTTTCTATTAATTATTTGCTTTCACTTTTATGACATATTTTCTTGTCTTGATAGGCATAGACATACAACCTCCTCCTCGCATCAACCATATTTCTGTAACTTTTCAAAATGAAGAAAATTCCCAAGCTAATAACGGAAGGAGGTCAATTTGCTCAGGTTTGCTATCCCCTTCCTCTCCCATCATTAACAAGTTAGGAAGTGTTGCATAAAAGGTACGATCTAATTTGGGTCATCCACTTCGAATTCCTGATTAACTTTAACCAAGGAAGTACATGATATTTCTCTTTACTTGTATGTAGAAGGTCTCAATTATAACTCACATAGATGACAAGTTCGACACTAAATTAGTATCACTAATACCTCCCTACCTTGCTAAATTTGAGAGATTATTAGGAGAGTTTTCTTCATTTGTGGAGATTATTGGGAGCATAAGTGCATGTTTGGTAATGAGAAATACAAAATGCGTTTGTGTTAGTTTTTAAGAATAGACCCATAAAATGAATAACATAAAATACAATATTAGCCTAGATTGTGTAAAACATTAAAGTTATTTTTCATGTGAAATTTAATAACATAATAAAAAGATAAAAACCACAAACTAAGTATTAAACAAGGTCAGAATTTTAAGAAAAGAGAAAAAATCTTGTACTCCCCACTACCACCTTACAATGGTCTTCGCAAATAGCATCCATACCGCCATATCTCCACTACCAAGCATCATTGCCACTAGATCCTACACCTATCATCACTAGTATCTCCCATCACCACCCCATCACCGGGCCACCACGATCATAACCACCTCCACCATCTCCGCCATCATCAATCTTACTACCTCATAACCACCATTTCCACCACCCTTATTGTTAACCACACCCTCACCCATGTTACCATCATCATCGCCACTATAGATGCAAATTTCGTGCAGTTGAATTGACGAAATTCCACATATAAATCAAGAAACATCGTTAATCTAATTGACAAACACCCAAAAAAGGAGGGAATGTATCCACCAAAGGGCCTCCGATGCCCAAGTCAAAAAAGTAGTTTGAGAGAAACTATGAAGTTGAGAGAGTTCTGAGACGTAAATGACGATTATCGTTTTCCCTATTTGACACGACTAATTTATAGACAAAAACCCTAGTAGGCAACCGGGAGGGAGGTTGTAGTCCATAATAGACAAATCCTAAACCTATCTAAAATAGGACTCCAAGAATATTTATAATTTAGGATATAAGCATTGCTTGAATTCTCGAAAATTCCTTACTTATAAAATTCAAGGTTTGCATAGAGAATTCACACAATAAAACCCAAGTGTGAAAATTTTCCCATATTCTTCTTCCTTCCTCGACCTGGCAGCACTTGGGCTGCTGGCGAATTTATCATGTCATGATTACCCTTTTTGACTTTATAGCACTTACTGACTCGAGAAGATGATTGCATGATTTGGATTCACCATGCCACAATCATATTTCGAAAATATTGATCGCACATACGACTTTACCAGGTTATGATCCCATTCGTAGTGATCTCTTAATACGAATATACCAAGTCAACATCCCATGCACCTCAGTGCTACATGATACATAAATCTTCATGCATAGTCATCGCACAATATGGATTTACCAGGTATGATGTCATGTATTTCAATGCTACATGGTGCACACTTACTATCACCCAACCTTGTGACACTATGTTATCGACCCTCTAGCTCTCAATTCACAAACAACTGAAACATGCATAGATATCTCATTTCACTACAAAAAAAATATATGGCCACTGCGCACAAAAAGTAATTTGGAACCAACGTATGTGCCATATATCTATGGTAACAGTGCAGCAACTAAACTATTATATGTGCCCTCTATGGGTGTGCCCTTTGATGAGAGGCACAAATAGGTTATTTGTGCTCAAAGAGTTAAGCACAAATAGGCAACCTATTTGTGCCTTAATTTTGACAACCATGCCAGATTAGGCCTGGCAATTTCTGACACGACCCGATAACCCGACACGACACGAAATTAACAGGTGTTTGGGTCGACACGATAACGAATCGGGTCTTATCGGGTAACCCGATAAGCACCTGTTAAGATAACGGGTTGGGTCGGGTATACACGTGGGTAAACACGATACACGATAAACAGAATATTATTTTTATAATTTTATAACCCTAAAAAAATATTGTAATAATTATATACATTAATTTTACAATTTTATACCCCTAAAAATTATAATAAATATATATATATATATATATATATTAAATTAACTATAAAATTTATAATAATTATAATAATTATATATACTATAATAATTATACCCCCAAAATATTAAGTCTATCTATACTAATTATATTATATATATATATATTAAATTTTATAAAAACTATAATGCATATTAATTAATAATTTAATATGCATGATCATGCATTTGCCAACTTGCCGTCCTTTTTGAAAAAAAAAATGGAGGGAAAATGAAAATGTTAAGAAAAGATGAAAATAAAACAAAAAAGTGAGGGAATTAGGGAAAGATGTTGGAGGGAAAAGTGAAAATGATAAGAAAAAGTTGAAAAGGAAACAAAAAAGAGAGGGAAAAATGAAAATTAATAGAAGTGGTGAGAATTTTTTTTTTTTTTTTTAAGTTATTAACTTTTTATCACACACATGACTGTCATGACATATCTCACTATTTTTATAATGAACACGTGACACGTGATGTATGTACTATTCCGTGTACCAGTCAATTATAATTTATACGTACAAAATAAATAGATTTAAATCTACTTAATAAATATATATATATACACACACACACACGGAACTTGATTGATGGCATACGAATTCTCCAAAACTAATTTCAACGATCCAAACCGTCAAAATTGTTTGTATATGCTTGGAGATCACATCAGCAAAAAATCACAAAAAAAAAACATTCAGAGATCAAGTAACGGGACAAAGCTTTTCAACGGTTATAAACGAAAAATCACGATTTAACGGTTATTTTAACTCCGATTTTGATGATTTTTTATAACTACACTTCTTGACCCTATATGAATACAATGAATGAATTCGATCTTCAATTTAAAATATTTACACAAGTGGATACCACAAAATCTTATGCTATACTTAATAAAAGTATAAATAAAGTCTAAGTGTTAGTCAATCTATCATTTTACGAATTCTCCAAAACTAATTTCAACGATCCAAACCGTCAAAATTGTTTGTATATGCTTGGAGATCACATCAACAAAAAATCACAAAAAAAAAACATTCAAAGATCAAGTAACGGGACAAAGCTTTTCAACGGTTATAAACGAAAAATCAAGATTTATGGTTATTTTAACTCCGATTTTGATGATTTTTTATAACTACACTCCTTGACCCTATATGAATACAATGAATGAATTCGATCTTCAATTTAAAATATTTACACAAGTGGATACCACAAAATCTTATGTTATACTTAATAAAAGTATAAATAAACTCTAAGTGTTAGTCAATCTATCATTTTACGAATTCTCCAAAACTAATTTCAACGATCAAAACCGTCAAAATTGTTTGTATATGCTTGGAGATCACATCAGCAAAAAATCACAAAAAAAAAACATTCAAAGATCAAGTAACGGGACAAAACTTTTCAACGGTTATAAATGAAAAATCAAGATTTAACGGTTATTTTAACTCCGATTTTGATGATTTTTTATAACTACACTCCTTGACCCTATATGAATACAATGAATGAATTCGATCTTCAATTTAAAATATTTACACAAGTGGATACCACAAAATCTTATGTTATACTTAATAAAAATATAAATAAACTCTAAGTGTTAGTCAATCTATCATTTTACGAATTCTCCAAAACTAATTTCAACGATCAAAACCGTCAAAATTGTTTTTATATGCTTGGAGATCACATCAGCAAAAAATCACCAAAAAAAAACATTCAGAGATCAAGTAATGGGACAAAGCTTTTCGACGGTTATAAACGAAAAATCAAGATTCAACGGTTATTTTAACTCCGATTTTGATGATTTTTTATAACTACACTCCTTGACCCTATATGAATACAATGAATGAATTCGATCTTCAATTTAAAATATTTACACAAGTGGATACCACAAAATCTTATGTTATACTTAATAAAAGTATAAATAAACTCTAAGTGTTAGTCAATCTATCGTTTTACGAATTCTCCAAAATTAATTTCAACGATCCAAACCGTCAAAATTGTTTGTATATGCTTGGAGATCACATCAGCAAAAAATCACAAAAAAAAAACATTCAAAGATCAAGTAACGAGACAAAGCTTTTCAACGGTTATAAACGAAAAATCACGATTTAACGGTTATTTTAACTCCGATTTTGATGATTTTTTATAACTACACTCCTTGACCCTATATGAATATAATGAATGAATTCGATCTTCAATTTAAAATATTTACACAAGTGGATACCACAAAATCTTATGTTATACTTAATAAAAGTATAAATAAACTCTAAGTGTTAGTCAATCTATCATTTTATGAATTCTCCAAAACTAATTTCAACGATCAAAACCGTCAAAATTGTTTGTATATGCTTGGAGATCACATCAGCAAAAAACCACAAAAAAAAACATTCAGAGATCAAGTAACGGGACAAAGCTTTTCGACGGTTATATACGAAAAATCAAGATTTAACGGTTATTTTAACTCCGATTTTGATGATTTTTTATAACTACACTCCTTGACCCTATATGAATACAATGAATGAATTCGATCTTCATCGAGTGTAGATATAGTACTTGAACGAGAAATGTTTTAATGTTTTCAAGTAATATTTATGTCGCAATGTGTGGTATGTGCAAATTGTAAAAAAATATATTTTTTTCTTAACGGGTCATAACGGGTCATAGCGGGTCGGGTCACTTTACCCGTTGGGTAAAGTGACACGACCTGTTAAGGACCCGTTAAGATAACGAGTGTGACACGACACGACCCGTTAAGATAACAGGTGTTACACGAAAACGACACGAACACGACAGACACGACCCGTTTGCCAGGCCTATGCCAGATGACAGAACTATACGCACAGCTTTCAAATCGTGACCAATAGGTTTTATTTTTAAAAAAAATGTAAAAATTAGAAATAAAACAAAAAATTCAAAATTTTCATAAAATCAAGACGGCACGCGCTATATACATGTATTTCAGTTATTCACAATACATCCCACATAATTTATAACCAAACCTTTCTTCAGAATCCCATCATCCCACTGCAGGTATTGGACCCCAGTTTTTCATGCAATGAAGCTCACTTAACCACATTCCCTTCTTGCCTAACTTTTTTAAGAGTCCCACAACTTTTTATAAATTAAAAACTAAAGCTTTTACAGAACACAGTCGAAAGAAAACCCGATAAGCTAAGAACAATATACTAAAAACAGATAAAGAACTTACGTCTCTGTGGAATATCTTTGTCAGCTTTCACCTTTGCGTCACCTGCATACACACACACACACACACACACACACAAGTTCTTTAAGAAGAAGGATCCCCATTTTACACAAAAAATAGGAATGATGCGCTCAACCGTCGGATCTCTCTTAATGAGATCATGCGGCTGTAATTTAACGAGAAAGAATGGCACGAACAAGAAGGCTGAAACCTGTTTGCCCTCACGAAGGAGAAGAGCGACGTCAGCTCCAACCAGAGCTTCGATCGGTGTTATGTTTTCTTGGTTTTTCTCCCTTCATTCTTGATACATATACCAGTCTTTGATTTTCTTCTTCAAATTAGATTCAAATTTGTAGAATAACCAAGATTTTGAGAAGAAAACAAATCTCAAATTATTGAACCCCAATCTCCAGAACTGTAATTAAAAACAAAAAAAACAAAAAAAAAAAAAAGGCAAAAGAGTTGTGCAATTGAATCAAGGAGGAGGACACTCAAACTGAATCCATTCTCCAAAATGAGACTGAAATTAAACGAATAAGTTTAAATTTAGCAAAGTTAATTCTATGAGACCGAAATTCGGTACCAGTGAGGCGCACCTTGGTTTCTGTTGTTGGTAGATCAATCGAATGTGAAACTCAAACAAGAAATCGACATTATAAATTAAAGAAAAATTGTTCCGCCCAAACAATCTCTAAGCTTAGTATAGTTTATTAGTGTGGACAGAGAAATTGTTTGGCCAAAACAATCTCTAAACTTAAAGCATCATACTGCATTAAAATGAAGTTATATCAATACCTGAGAAGAGAGGCCGATCATAAGCTTCAGGAACCTGTGAAAAAAGGAAAATAACAATAATGAATTTGAATTTACTACAATTTTCTCTAAGACCCTGCTTCCTATAAATAAGTACTCTACTTAAAAATTCAATTCTCATCATTAGCTGTTTCACCCATTAAAAAAAATACAAACTTAAATTAAGAAACAGTTGAAAAGATATGATATCAACACACCTAGCAAAAGTAAGGCCAAATGCCTTCGAAGAGATATGATATCAACTACCACATATTCCAGTGATGTTCAAGACCAAAACTTTCAAACATTAAAAACAAAAAAAATGCATTACTACCAAGAAAACTCAATGCAATACTCGCAGGCGTTGGATGCAATGAAGCTCACTTTACCACATTCCCTTCTTGCCTATAACTTTTAAGAGTCCCACAGCTTTTATGAATTGAAAAATAAAGCTTTTACAGAACATAGTCGAAAGAAAATGCGATGAGCTAAGAACAATATATTGAAAATAGACAAACAACTTACGTCTCTGTGGAAAATCTTCGTCAACTATCAACTTCGCTCCACCTGCACACGCGCACACGCGCACACGCGCACACACACACACACATATATATATATATACAAGCATCAAATCGATGTTCACACTCTTAGCATCTAGTTAGAACAATAATTACACCAAGAAAACTTGACCTTTCAACAACCCAATTGATGTTGTATTGCAATCTATACAACCAGTGACAGATTAAAATAGCAAAACAACACCAAAAAATCCTAAATCAAATTGAAGCAGTGTAAAATCGAGATTGAAAACGCGAAAATACCCAAGCTCGACTTCACCGCCAGCTCCGGCCTCATCACACACATCGACGCCACCCCAACTCCGCTCTTCGCCTTCCCGCCGCTCCCATACCTACAAAACACATAAAAGCCGATCAAAATCCTTACGTTTCTTAGATCGAAAATTGAGGAAATTCGATTACGAGTTTGTAGAAACTAACATGGGGTTTGGAAAGAGGACGGGAAGAGGATTATGGAGATATAATTTGACAGTCGTTGGTGACCGGTGGACCGCAGCGCCGTTGCGTGAAAGAGAAGAGGGAGCGAGGATGCAGGAGGGAGGAGAGACTTCTCCAAGGGGGTGAGAGGAGAGAGGATTAATAACTTTTTTTTTTTCATAATTTTTATAAATTGTATTTTACACAACAGGCACGATATATTTATACAAAATTTACATATTATTTAAATATACTAAACGCTAGGGCCTTGTTTAGTAGCTTCTGTAAAGGCACAAAAGCCTGTTTGTCACACATTATATACTATTTAACGGATCCTATTTTTAGAGACAAAAGTTTTTGTGTCTTATGTTCTGTCAAAAAGTTATCAAGCCGAAGTATACATGTCTCACTTTTCATAGTTTCCGTGGCCGAGACAATGTACTATCAAAAAATGAGAACTTAAATGTGTGAGGTCATTTAGTGGTATCCTAGGATAGGGCTTGTTAAAAAGTCAACTGTTGGTCAAACTGGCCCCTCTAGGGTTATGAAACCCTTCTTGGTCTACAAACATTGGATTTCCATTATGCAAGTTCCATTAGGTCGGTCGTACATCTAACAACATGCTCCATGAGTTTCACCAACATTTTTTTCCATTGCAGTCGGAGGTTTAGTGGAACAGCTTGTTTCTCTTTCAAAATGCCAGAAGGCAGGGCTTGTTTCGAAAATCGTTGAGATACTTGGTATGCTAGTAACAATTTCATTTGTTGTAAATTGGAATTCAAATCAATTATTCAAAGCAGTTTCAGTTCTAAATATTTAGGTTTTGAATGTCGAACTCAGGAATCAAACGCATATATGAAACGAAGATTGTCCACGTCAACTCACTTGCATTTTTAAAGCTCGCGTGCGAAGAGTTAAATAAAGATTTGGATATGCATCAAATGAGTTATCCCAATGCGAATTCTGCAATCTTCGAAGCTGTTAGGAATGGGAATGTGGAGTTTATTACTCATATATGTGAAGCAAATCCTGAACTTCTGTGGGCAACAAATGACGATGGAAGGTGCGTATTTGCCTTTGCCATCGAATGTCGTCAAGAAAAGATTTATAACCTTATATATGGGATCTCTGCGACTGAGGGGATGATACAGTATGTCGATAGCAAAAATAATAACAGCCTACACATCGTTGGGCTGTTGCCCCCATCTACACAAGCACAACTTAATCGTATTCCAGGGGCAGCATTGCAAATGCAGCGTGAACTGCAATGGTACCAGGTTAGGATTTCTCACTCGACATAATTCTTAATTACGTTGCCTATATGACATATAAACTGAAAGAATCAAATTAAGTATTTGGGAGGTTTTGAATTTGTTTTCCCTTTTTGTAATAATCACCCAAATCAACATCAACTATTAGAATTAACACAACCTAACACATGTTACCAACCTAACACATGTAGGTGCTCTCATATGTCAGTACAAATGTTAAAATTAACACAACCTAACACAAGTTACCAACCTTGGAATGTAAAATGTACCTAGTTAATCCTAATATAATAAAGATTATAGAAAATTATATTTTATGCTCTCATAAGTCAGTACTTCTTGTTCAATGCAATGCAGGAAGTAGAGAGTATTGTACCTTCTAGGTCTCTTGAGCGGAGGAACGATGATGAACGTTTGACACCAAGGGAACTATTCACAAAGAGTCACAGGGGATTGCTAAAGGAGGGAGAAAAATGGATGAAAGCGACAGCAACTTCTTGCACTGTTGTAAGTGCTCTTATTATTACCATCATGTTTGCTGCAATAATCACAATTCCTGGAGGAAACAAAGATACCGGCCTTCCCGCATTCATCGATGAAAAATTGTTTATGTTATTTATGATTTCAGATGCTATATCACTCTTTTCTTCCACAACTGCTACGCTGACGTTTCTCGGAATTCTCATGTCACGTTACTCAGAATATGATTTCCTAAAGTCCTTACCCACACAGATGATAATTGGTCTTGCCACTCTTTTCTTCGCCATTGCAACCATGATGATTGCGTTTTCTGCTGCCCTTCTAATTATAGTTCGTGGACATTCTTGGATTGTGATTCCAACCATACTTCTTTCAAGTGTTCCAGTCACTTTATTTGCTTGGATGCAATTCCCCCTCCTAATTAGAATTACCATTTCTACTTACGGGAAATCAATATTTAATAGGAATGTGGAACGTTGGTTGTAAAGCTATTTCATTCTTTTATATTTCTTATTGTATCTGTTTATGTGGGATCTTAAAATTAGAGGTGTACCTGATTTGATGGATTATATATTAAGGAATAAATTGGTGGTTTATGAGGGACTTTTCACTTACAAGTGAAGAGAAACACCACTAGACCGTATTACTAAGTGAAGTCTTTGTTTTTGTGTGTTGACTGATTCGTTTTTGTTGTTTGATGAATGATATGATTGTAGTTACTACATTACAGGTTCGAATAAGAACCCCACAAGGCACCCAACAGGATGAGCACATAAACAACTCATTCAGATTATCGCATCATCTTTAAGACAATAGACCAGTTCACTAATGAAACCAAGAAAGAAAGGAAACGAAAAGCCATAAGTAAATTTAAATTGTAGCAAAAGCTATTTGACCTTCATGGCCAGTTCACAAACTGGGAATCCAGATGAAGTAGTTTTACGTCTAAGCACTATGATGTTGAACATAGATATATCAATCACAGTAAGAACTGAAAGTTTTTTCAACCTGATGCACCCAACGATAGATCTTGTCCCAACCTCTAATGTTACAGACAGTAGAGATTTAACCATATAACGCACACCATGGCTCCCGATCGTCTTTTGATTTTCTTGTTGGATTCCATGTGATCTTGTCTCTTGAAAAGGAAAGGTTCAAAGTGCTTGCTAAAAGTTCTCCAATCTCATAAAGTATCTGAAAAAGAAACCATCTAGAGTTAGACAATATACGTACACTCGGGAAACAGACAGATTGATAGAGAACTAAAGGGAAGAGAAAGAAACAAGGCTAAGCGACTTACTTTCAGCAGTGGAACATGGAGAAACTGAGCATACACTATTTTTCCCATTCATCTCTTGAGCAAATCGTAGAAATACAAATTACTATCCTATCATGGCCTCCAAACCCTACTTGAATTCAACCATATGTCACAACAATTCTGGGTAAACTGAATGTTGACAGTTGCATTAGATAAAGTAATAAAAAAGCTGTATACCTGAAACTCTTCTTTATCAGAAATGTGTTGATCGATTTGCCTGATAAGAACATATGTTGGCAACTTCAAAATACGGACCAACTGAAGAAAGCAAGCCAAATGTTCATGATGAATCTGCAAGGATGGCGGTGGCTTCTGGGTTTTGGTTGTAATAGCCTTGCTTATGGCTGTTTCTGAACCAATCTCTATACAATAAAGTGAACATTTGCTTTCAAATTTTGTTGCAGATTTACTTTCCCCCTTTAGCTTGGATGACTCTAGGAAAAACGGGGCAACGACTGTAGAAACTGAGGATGAATTCCGCCCTGCTAATTGTGCTAGAACTTCATTAATACCGCAGGCTAGTATTGGCGGTTCATAGTATTCCATAAGCAGCACAGACACCTGAAAAATACAAAATTGAAGAGAAATTTTTTATAAAGTTCCCCTAATTTGTTATCTTCAAGATATGTTAGAAGATAAATACAATAGTTATTCACTCTGTCCTAGTAACTCAAGCCCAACAGCAATATATCGACAAACTTCAACACAATATCAAAGCTGTTGGCTCACATCCTAACAACTAAAGCATTTCAGAGCAGTGGTAGATCGATAAACTCTATGAAAAACAGAAAACTGCATAAAAAAAATAATGTGGAACCTTCCACTGTTATCGTTACAGCATGAGTTCTGAAACACAAAGGAACAAAACTTTTACAAAGTAATTTAATGGGTTTCTACCACTATGGGCATAGAAACCAAATCTACAAGCATTCTTTGAAAAACGCCTGCAATCAAGTCCCTTTAGACCTCACAGATCACTCACAATTTCATAAAACCGAGTCGATTTTATACCCCACATGGTTTTGAAAAACTAACATCATTTTCAATTTCAACACCCAAATCCCACATAGAATCTACTCTATACTAATATAAACCCGTTTCTGGGTACTAAACAATTCCATGAGAGACAGAGGGAGAGAGAGAAGGGGAACCTCATATTGGCCCTGGGGTCCGAGGAAGTGGCGAAGGATTCCAGAAGCTTTGCAATTTTGGATTCCATAGAGCTCCAAAGAAAGCTCGAAACTTTCTTCTCTGCAACAAATTGGCGCATCGAAATCAATCGATATAATATGAATTTGATCTCAAACTTAAAAGGGTTGATAGGAAGAGATCTTACACAGTATAATTGCTTGGACTTGGGCGGAAAGCAGCTGAGATGGCTTCGCCGAAGCCCTCTGAGTCTCTCAGCAGAAACACTACCTTCGAACCAACCTTCATTTTCTTCCTGCTCTTCCTTCTAACCGATAGGAGTGCCACTTATCTTTTTTCTTTTTTTCTCTATTTTAATTTTTTGGTTTTTTTTTTTGTTTTTTAATTGTTCCAAAAATGCCATGGCTTTAGGTCGGTTTTGCACGTATAATGAAAACCGCCGTCTAAACTATCAATCCGAATGCTGAGGGAATGGTTCATGAGGTTCTTACACCATATGATCGTCACCTTCCGCCAAAATGTCGCAATATTTGCAAGGTAGACGCAAGTCACCGTGCTTTGTGCGGTTTTCGTTGTCACAGGGTCGTCTGTGATCTTCTCTGCAAATGGTGGAGGGTCATATAATGATTGACCTCGTATTGATCGACTCAAAGAATGCATCTTTGCAAATGTAGATGCTTTCTCGAAACAATAATGCTAGAGTCGCGAAATTTGTTCACCAAAACCAATGTATACTTCCGATAGGAGTTGATAATCTGAAAAAATTATAATAATATTGCGGATTGAGGATGAGAAAGAGATGTGTAATGTTTAAGGTTTGATCAGTAGTAATTTAATAATCAAATATTTCTTGCCACCTCCATTTTCATGTGCTACACTGATAGGATCAGACATGGTAAAAGGAAAATTGAAAGAAAGTAAATGCAAGAAATGGAAAAGGAAATCAAAGGAAATTCATATCTTCGTTCATAGTCTCTTTACATCATAAAAGAGGTTTAAATACACCCAAAATAGCTAGGGTTTGAGGTATGAATGGGCCTAGTGGATAGTAATGAGAATAGGTGGTCTAACTAGTCAAAAGCACAATAGCTTAGAGTCGCATCAATCCCACCCCCTTAAGATGAGGCTTGTCCTCAAGCCTCTCAAACTGAGAAAGACGCATGCAGCAGTCGGGAAAGAGGCCAGCCAATTTGTCCAATGGTGTACCATACTTATATGCAGTATTAGCTTTTGTATGGTCTTTAAATCACGAACCATGTCCTTCCAAAACTTCTTCAGTGTGTTCACCCAAAAAACAAATATCATTAACTCATATCCTGCCAAATGAAATCATGCAGATTTGCCAAATACTTTGAGATGGAATAAAAGAGTTGGAGCACACTAATCTTGATAGCATTGAGCAAAAGAACAATCCGCTTTGTTGCATAACCGACCACCAACTCCCCAAAAGAATGACAATTGATGTCCAAATGGTTTTCTGCATTTTGTGCAGCTGGTACCCAAGTCTCAGTAATTGTGGTCAAGAGTAGACAACTTCGAATATTGGCATTCAGATTTTTAGGCTTAGTAACTCCCATTGGGTGGTCAATCCCACTTGTAGCGCTAAAGACAATGAGATCACTGTTGGTGCTCGTAAACAAATGCGCCCATAAATTGCAGACCCAAAGCTTAGTGAACAAGAATACCCCAAGCTTAGTGAGTGAAGGCCAATTGTTGTTCCGCAATACACCAAAAAATGTCGAAGAGATCTCCCACCAATTGAGAGATTCCATGGATGATTGAATGCCTTCGAAAAAATTGCCATCTTATGCTGCAAAAAGAGTGCTAAATCAGCAAGACTCTTCCAATAATCGAAACATTTTGGCACACCATCAAATGGGTTTGACGTAGAGCAAACATGTCTGATCCAAGCTGCAGATGAACTATCACTTGTGAGGAACCATATTACAGCATACTACTGCGTAGGTGAATAAGTGAATCAGATAAGTATTTCTCTTCCACTCTATCTTGTTTGACCCTTGTCCACCTCGTGAAAGTAATATTTGTATTCCTTCCCCATAAAGAATATGGATCATGATGATGGAGAACATCCACCTCGTGAAAGCCATTGAAGGAATGAGATCAGAGAAATACCTTGAAGAAAAATCTAGATTAAGTTTGAGAAGAGCAATAATCCCATTGTCATGAAAATTGAAGTAAGCAATGCCTAAACTAGCCTTTCTTGCACCAAATTGCTCCAGGAGAATATTGTTCCTGCATTTTTGTGACTAGTCAAGGTCATTGATAGCAATTGAATAAACAACTATTGACTCGGCACCCAAGAATTGAGGCAAAGTTAGACAAAACTGTAATATCATAGTTTCCAGTGTAGCATTCCGGATTGCTATGAAAATTTTCAATGCATTATCCATGAGCTTAGGATGCTCAGTCTCATTTGGAGGCTGCAACTTTGGAAGAATGATCATCCAATACAAGTTCTCAATCTCAACAAGATTAGGAGAAAAAGAAGAGCAACCAATCTGCTCAGCACCCACTGCTAGAGAAAGAACCATAGAAATCAACATTTGAAAATTAAGAGAAAGTGATTCTGCCATGTTTTTGAGATGATCAGTTATGTATCCACGGATAAGAACTGCAAATGCTTCCTCTTCTTGTCTAAAATTCCCATCAGTATGCCATTTCAAGTTGGCATATTTTTCCAAAAGCCTGATAATGGTTCTAGTAACACCTATGGCAAGTATCACTAGTGGTAGACAAGTAGAATGCACTGCAGGATTGATGGGGTGCAGCTGTGGGATTAATAATTGAGGGTGGTCGTCAAAATGGTTCTCCTGGATCCCATCCCGGCCGAAATTCACGCCTAGTAGTGCATAGGTGAATGAATGAAGCATGTAGATCAACATCCAAGGCACCAAAATTGCATTCCAGGTGATTATTGAGAGAACATAAGATACTTACGATACCACCCACGGAAATCATTAAAAAAATGTTAGTGTATAAGCTATTGAGCTTACATGAATATTAGAAGTAAATAAGTCTTGTGTCTAATTGTGTATTCACTTTGGTAATTAAACCAAGTGT